TATGATGAGGTGGAAGTGGAGCAAAGAAACAAAGAAATAGTATGCACTTGACAGAGTAGTAAATGACCATGATAACAATTGGTGCAAGGACACCTGGGAGTATGAATTTTGGTTATACTAGAATTTACACCCTTGAACATTGAACAGTGAGCTTACCCAATAGGAGGACACCGACTGCTATGTTAATAACTGTGACGTGTAGAAGGGCACCGCCTATCTGTAAGAGTACCCTTTCCTCTGAGTCTGGTATCATTACAGCGATGATATGAAGACAGGGTGGTTTAAAGCAGGTAGGAAGATAAAGGTATTGGAGATTTAGTGGAGAGATTTGCGGGAGGAGCTGTGGATGAAGTGTGTAAAGTTAGCTGGCCTTTAGGTATTTGTATGTTGTCGGATCACATATTTATGTGAGATGCGGCCTCCGCACACCGAGCGCAGGCATGGTATAGACCCTTTTGTAGCCCCTTGTTTCTGAAGAAATTCTAGAAATCATACAGCTTGAATAATTTAGGTTGGGTGCCGCAGTAGAGCCAAGGAAACCGCAAGCGCCACAGGAGGGGCAACTACAATGATCATGTCATGCATGGTTTATGTAGGCAGCTGAATTTCTGGTCGCTCTCTCTGAATTATTCGAGTCAAAGACACATGAAATACCAACGGAGATGGACGTATCATTGCTGTAACGGAATAAACGAGGGGCCCAGTGCCGGGCATCGAAGGGATGACGAGACAGATCGTAGGGAAGTTTCCTCACTGATCGCATGTTGTCTGCGCGCCGCTCTGCTGCGGTATGATAATCGAGCTCCCCTGGTAGAGCCCCATTTGAACCTTTCTCAGTAGCTCTATCTTCCTGTTGTTCAAAAGAATTGAATCGTATTCTAGCAATCATGCCGACACGAGAGAAGAGACAAAGGGAATTTTGAACAGAGGGTCACAGCGCACTGGGAAAGGGGCAGAGCATTGGGCAGGCGTAAACTGACTTGAGACTCGGATATATGTGACAAATCAAGCTCAAACTGCAACAGAATCAAAACGGAATACAAATGCGGCGCTGGCTACCATGTGACCTCAATCACGCTTTACCCAGCTTCTCCCCCGCTTTCATGTGCTGCATGCCCAAGCAAGCCCTCCTCTACATGCATCTCAAGATACAGACCTGCTAAGAAAAAAGAAAGCCATTATCCCTGCCCGTCTGCGTTGAGAAAGGGAGTATTAGTTGAAGATATTCCGGCAAGCGTCATACCCGTAGAATACTTGGCGCATCGGCGACACCCGCACCGTCCATCATTTAGAGGTTTTATTCTCAATTTTCTCTGTATACCAAGACATTTTACTTACTCATCCTATGCAAATTTCTATGTATTTAATTAATTAGGTACATTTTGTTCTGTATCTACAGTTCAATTCATACCTTTCCTTCGCTTTTATCTGCTCAACTGGTCATGGGCCCTGCCTACAACTGAACTCACAGTTGACATCACACACAACGAGCTCACCATCTCACACCTCGCTAAACTATCATGTCGAATGATTCGTCCAACTCTTCCTCATCGTCTCTCCACCGCATCGACACCTTAAAAGGTTGTGAAAATTATGCGGTATGGAAAATAAAAATGATTGATATACTCACTGATCTCAAGCTAATCGACTACGTCAATGGAACAAAACTGGACCCCATGACAAGGGATACTACTGCTGATGCTGTCAGCTGGAAATCCAAGGATTGGAAGGCGCTTTCAGCCATACAGCTACATGTTGGAGATGGACCACTCAGTGTACGTTGCCGGATCCTTATCTTCCAAGGATGCCTGGGACACTTTGAAGTCAATGTACAAGGCGCGTGGCGCCATTGGCATAGTCACTGTGCATAGGAAACTTTTCCAAGCACAGTGCGTGGACACCGGCAATATTGAAGAGCACATTCGGATGCTCAAGGGATATGTCGAGGAACTGGCCACACTAGGATCTAAAATCAGTGATAAGGACTTCAGCATTACGCTTCTCACCGTCCTTCCAGACTCCTGGGACCCATTCATTTGAATAGTCAACTCCGCCACATTGAAAGAGAGTCCCAAGCTGATTGCTAGGATACTCAAAGAGGACTGACAAATTTGCTTGCATGGTGGTGGTAACACTGCACTCGCAGCAAAATATAACCCAAATGTAACCTGCTTTGATCGTCACAAGAAAGGGCATATCACTCCTGACTGCCCAAAGCACAAGGGTGGACAAAACGATGTTAAAGGCAAAAACAAGAAGCCTCGAGGACGAGGGAAACTTCAGCACAAGAAGGATACTCTGAATGTAATAAGCACGTACGCTATCGCGTACTATATACTTTGTAGATACTTGTATTTTGGTTGCTCTTGTGTCACACTCACGCCCTTTGGCTCGGAAGGATGAAGATCAAGGACGTCTATTCGACACGGAATGACAGAAAGGACAAGCACCAAAGCCTCTAAATTCAAAGACATAGATCAGGATGCGGCGAGCTGCGTTGACACTCTATGCAGAGTACCCCGATCCACAGCTGCTCTGTATTTTTCAAGGAAAGAGCGCAATGTTAATAAATTACCTGAGGATCGGCGATGATACAGACAGTTCCCATTCAAACGCGCAATACCTATGCAAAGATAGATCATTCGCACTCAGTGCCACTCATATCCGAGCTGAGATAAAGATGGAACACGATAGAATTTCCACCAGTAGAGCAAAGCTTGAATAACCAGAAATGTCGGCAATACAATTCTTTTGTCCAACGTCATATGCGTCCTATTGCACTCTATCGTTTGCTAAGGGTATGTTCACGGCTGGTAAGTGAGTCGGGAGTGACCATTAAGATTATATGTGATCCCGTGTAATGCATCGTTGAAGAAAAGGTAATGGAAGACTCACAGAATGAACATGTTAAAGATCTGGCGAACGGGTTGAGATTTGTCTCTTCATAGCGACTGCTTAGAAGAAACGTTTATAGATCGTGATGCCTTTCTCACAGATATTAAAGTGTTCTGTGGTATGTTCATGAATCTGCTTCAATTCCCCATCAACGTATCTCTAGCTGGGCGAGCGATTCAGTGCATACCTTCTTCAATGTAGAACAAACGACTCGACATCAAGATCGTCCCAACATCATATCGCCATGACTAGTTACTTGAATCTCTCTTTTCGTTTCATCGCAAATCCCCCAAGTGTAAATGAATGGACGGTTTTAGGCGAACGAGACCGATTCACTTACTTAAGCCCTCTTGGATGTACTGGGATGCCTATACAAGATTGTGCTGCTCTTGAAGCCTACACTAGCAAAGAGTGAGTATTTCCGTGGAGGTTAGATGTAATATATCGGAGAAGAGGAAATAGATGTGGACGCAACAGAACTTCATCGCACGGATGACTTGCAATAAATTTCCATTCCATACTATCGTACACGGCTCTCTCTGGCCCTTTCCCGTGACCTCCTCCTCTCCCTCTGCTTCATTATGATTCCCTTCTCATGCTCCGTTTCCTTCGCATCGACAGTGCCCTTCTCCTTCTCCCCCTTCTCCACCTCCACCCCTGCAGACGCCTGCGCCTGCGCCTCCTTCCCCTTTCCTCTTCTCCAAACACCCTGCTGAAACCACCTGCTAACACCCCACCCACGCGCCTCCCTTGCCTTCATCTCCCGCTCCTCCCTTCTCCTCTCGAACGCCGCCCGGTGCCTCTCATACCCCTCCCTAAACGTCCGATCCACTCTCGAGCTGAATATCAACTCCCCGCGCGGGTTCGAGGACGGTGGGATGGCTGGGATGGGGATGGAGCGTGGTTGCGGTGGTGGTGGTGCTACAGGGGCGCGTGTCACCGGGTCTTGCGAAGAGGTATTTTGTTGGGATAGAGAGGAGGCGTCGTGTTGGGGTGAAGTCATCGAGGCCGCAGGCACTTCCTTTGGTCTGGCAAAGAACCACCGCACGGGGTTCCACCCAATCCGACTTCTCTCAATCAATGGCGGTTTCCTCACATTGAAGTACATATTAAAGCTCCTCAGTGCACGATTGGCATGCGGTACATATCTGTACCAAAGAGTGAGCAGCAGAGAATAGCACAGAGGCACAAGACCTCACCGATTAGCCCAACCCACTCTCTCTTCATACAGCCCACTCACAAAGAACAGCCCCAGCGTCGTAAGCGCGACGAACAGCATCCCCATCGCCACTCCCGGATGCACGTACACTTCTCCGACCTTAGAATTGGGGCCATACACCTCTGGCAAGACTCTACGGAGCGCCGCACGGTACGGTACGCTTAGCAGACTGACGTTCGGCGGCAACAGCACCTCCGCAAGGAGAAACGCGATCAGAAGGACCAGCTGTAATAAAAATACTTGTTCATAGTCAGCTTCGAGTTTGCATTGCAACAGAGGGACGGACGGACGCTGGTACTTAAACTTCCTCTTCCTCAAATTTTCGGCATTGCTTTTCAGCCTCTCCTCAAAGAGCAGTAGATCTCTGTAGGTCGCTACATCGTTCGGCGGGGGGGTGTACGTCCTGAGCAATGAAGTTGGTGGAGTGCCCGTCCGTGGAGTGCCTGTCCTTGTCGCTGGAGTTGACCCGCGCGTTGGTGAGGTGGAAGACGAGGAGCGTCTATGGTTTGGTGGTGACGAGCGCGTGGGCATCATCCCTGGCGGTGGTGGTGGTGGCATTAGACGTCGGAATTCGGGGCTCGGATCATTCCTGGCACAGATTAGATTTTCTCATCGAATCTTCCCAAGAAATTCTGACATTGAACACTGGTATTGAAGGGTTGTTCAAGCTCTATCTTTTTCAATTGCAAGCGTCCGACGACCGCGTACATAAATGAGCCCACAGGGAGCTTTCATTCCTCCGAAATACCGGGGAAAAGGAAAGAATGAACAAACCGACATCGAAGGGGACAAGGAAGAAAAAAGCAGGAGCTGGCGAAAGAAAGGACATCATGCACTGATTCCTTCCACGAAAGAGGGGAATGAGAAAAACCAGATATCTCCGGTACTCTCTGCCTGGGAGTCGAACCCAGCTTTCGCGCGTACACAAGTTGCATCAAAGATATGACAGGCGCGTGTACTAACCGATACACTAGCAAAGAGTTAAGAAATATCCATATAACAGTCCCTATATATGCTTGCAATGGAACCATAGATTTTGTTTGATGCTCGGGAACCCTCAAAAAAGTTTTCTTTGAGCCTCAAATTGAAAATAGACGCAATAGACTGTATATCTATCAACATAATAGCAAAAAAATTCACGCACCCTGAACCCTTACTGCAATCACGATCATCGTTTTAAAATGAACGACGCAAATCTCGACGTCATCAGAGACAGTTTGTCCGCGGCATATGGATTGGGGAGGACCGCAAGGGCAAACGGATGAGTACATACATACCATGTAGCCTACATATATAGTGCATAAATCATACAAACTACGGGTCATAGCACATAGGTCAAACAGAAATAAGAGTAATGCTAGACAGGTGTCATCAGGCAAGCATCAGGGCCGCTCGCATGACGATCAATAATCCAACACATCGTGATAGAGGACTTTGACATTGCCCATGGAAACAAATTGAAAGCGTAATTATGTGATCGTTTGTGCATGGCTCCTCGCTAATTTCAACAACTTCGTTCTAATCATGTCTTTTAGGACGTTTGGGCCTAATATTTACCTGTCTCAGAAGGATGCAGAACTAGTTCCACCGTTTTTTTACATTTCTCTGAAATTCCGACGTCACAAGACAAGCGCGCTGGGGAAACGAGGGGATGGGAGATCGGCTTACTTCGCCACGACTGCTACCGTTTGTCATATATTGACGCATGAATTCCGGAGTTGGCAGGTGGAAGTGCAAGTAAACTTGTCGTATGTATGTGAGATGACGTTTGTTATGACCAACGATCACAAGCATTGATTTCATGAACTTCACATTGTAGGACTTTCTTCTGAATCTCTCGATATACAAATAAAGCACCACTTGATTCTGTACCACCCCTTACCTGACATTAACCATGCCCATAGCCCTCGTAATCGGCGCCTCCCGCGGTCTCGGATACGAACTTACCAAGGCATTGCAAGCAGATGGATATCAAACTTTTGGAACCACACGTTCGAGCGATGCGCCTGTACAGCTATCATCTGGCGTTCAACGTGTGGATGGTATTGACATTGCAAAAGAAGATGCGGGAGCGAAGATCGCTGCCGCGCTTGGAAAGACGAAGCTCGATTTGGTTATCGTTAATGCTAGGGTCTTCAAGAAGGAGGCGTGTGGCTGCTCAGCTGACTTGATAGAGGCGTACTGACACTACATCGAACTTTTCTATCGCAGACATTAGATGAACCAAACTTCGAGGATGAGGTTGAGATGTACAAAGTCGTATCGATAGCCCCAGTGTTCGTCGCACATCACCTGTTAGCTCCTCCCCCATTTATGATTCACATTTCTCTATCACTCATGTCGCATTCTCTCCAGGTTCTTCACAGGCCACCTCGCATCCCCCTCGAAATTTATCCTTATCACGACCGAGGGAGGCTCGATCACCTTACGCACAAAGGAAGAAGGCGGAGGCAATTATGGCCACCACGGGAGCAAGGCTGCTGCGAACATGGTCGGAAAGCTCCTAGCAAACGATTTTTATGATAAGGGTATTACAGTGGCTATGATCCATGTGAGCAATCTTTGCCCGGGTTTTGTGTTTTAGGGATGTGAAGTGAACTGTTTTCAGCCTGGATTCATGAAGACGGATATGACGAAAGGTGTCGGATTTGACGAATTCTACGAATCTGGAGGAGGTAAAGAAGAATTGTTAATGGATTCAAGAAGATTACAATCTAACTCATTCTTGTGGTGCTCAAGCTGTCGAACCCGATGTAGCGGCAAGATCGACTGTCGACTTTATCTCTGCCCTCACGCACGAGCGTACGGGAACGTTTTGGGCACCGCGTGGTCCAAGGTGTGTTCGACTATGTTAAGCAGTGAGGTTGTGAAGTTAAATATTCCATCAATTCTATAGGGACATTGGCGAGGCTGAAAGGGTTCTGGGGAAGAATTTGCCTACGCCACTGCAGCTTCCATGGTAGTTATGGTTATATAGCACAAGGTTATATTCTCTGTCAATAGCCATCCTGGTATTCAAACCAAATCGAAGTTTCCGGAAGGGGATTCGGAACTCGCGTATGTCCATGGCCAAGGAAACTTGTAATTGCGGGAACGGCTTTGGCGACGGCTTGCATGAGCTCATAGTGGATTCCCCACCCCTCGAAAGATGGGAGCGACCGCTTGCGCATCCGCACTTTCAAATCCCTCAGTTTCCATTGGCGGAAATGTGGGGTTTGATATGCGAGTAATTTGGAACCAAAATCAGCCTGTTTGGATGATAAATTAGAACTTTCAGTACCTAAACATATTCGAAGAGCCTAGATCGGAGACTGACTGGGTCTCTGGTAAGATCGAAGTCGTGTTGGATGCTCATCCTATCAATATTTAGGACGAGCTGATCCAGGTTCCTGCACTTTATGGCGAGCAAGTCGAGCAATTGGGGGTTGACGGTCGTTACGGTGAGGTCGACTTTTTTCAGGAAAGGACTGGTGAGGATATCCACGAGGAAGGTCACCTGTTCGTATTCTAAGAATCGCCCATCATTGGAAAGGGAGAGCGACGACAGCGTCTGCGAAAGGGGTCGCAGCGGCTCAATCAGCCTTGGTGTAATATTATTGATGCCGAAAAACTTGATATTGAGGAAGTCCAACTTGACGGGTGAAACGCCTTGAAAAGATTGCTCGTTCCACTTGACGATATCATCATACCATCGTGTATGAGTTGATTCTACGCAATGATAGCTGAAGTCCAAGGATAAGGTCAAGCTCTGAATGTTTCCGTGGCGAAGGAGGAAACGGTTGAGTCCTGCTGGCTGAAGGGAGTAGTTTCGGTTGAACCACGCCCCAAGGGTGAATTGAGTGAGGAACGGGAATCTGCCGAGGAGTTCAATTGAAGGCCGTGACTGAAAGGTAGGGTCGGAGGGCTCAGGTGGATGGGGAAGGTGAATTGAAAGGGAGATGAGGGTTTGGTTTAATCCATTAATGAATTCGAATACAGAAGGCTCAGTATGGTTGAGATGAAGAGAGAGAGATTCAACGTTAGGCAGGTTCGTCGAGGATGGGAGAAGATTCTCGACCAGCTTTGAATGTTTGCTCAACCTTAGGCTAAGGGTCCGCAGGTTGGTTCGTAATTGAGGAAGCCATGTTCTAAATAAGAGGGCGTCACCCCCACTGATGTCAAATTCTTTGAGATTTACGAGGCCACGAGATATGGCAACAAGGTTTTCGGCGTGCAGGAGAGGTGCTTCTGCAATGTCGGCGTCACTCGATCTTGAATCAAGAAACCTTGTCTCGCCACCGTATAAGCTGATAGACTCTACTCTTGGAGACACAACGGGAGAGCTGATATTTTGGCTCAGGACTGCAAGAAGGCAACGGTTGAAACAGACGATCGTGACTTGCCTGATAGCTTCAAGTATTCTCAAGAACTTGATTTTGTCAGAAAAGCCACTGATCTTGCTATACTGCGCCATTGCGATTTCAAAGAAGACTCGGCTGAGGCCCATAGCTGCCCTTATATCGCTTTCGTCAAGATACGTCGCAATGTGCGACCATATTTCCGGCGGTAATGACTGAGGAGTGTGTTGGGATACGAGGTGATGAGTAGGGGCGGGATCCATTTACTTATTCGAGGATTAAATATGGGTTCTCAAGAGGCGATTTCTCTCGCGGTGCTTGCTTTGTTTCGGGGAAGAGGAGCTATCGGTAAGTAGCAATTTTGAATTGGCCCAATCACTGCAAGTTGCCCATCAGAAAAATAAAAATGGAGCCGACTGATGCGGCAGATCTAGATTTATGAAAGGTTTCTCTTTTGGTTCAGGGACTTTGAGGACAGCATAGTTTTCAGATAAAAAGGCTAGCTCAAGGAGGGATAACAAATAATTGAAAATATAAAGTAATCTACGCCGACAAGATACAAAGCCCAAAAATCTACTTACGAAGACACGAGGGAAACCCTGTATGAATATAGAGCAATAACAATGATATGCAGTCCATGTGTGTATATAGATAAGTCCACAAAAAGGAAAATGTTCAATGTCCCGTCGGCCTCCCAAATCGTGTGGGACTCAACGCCTTCTCACCTCTATCACCAAGGTCGCGTGCGCCCCAACTCCTCTCAATGATATCTTCAACCTTCTTGATCGCCGCCTCCACTGCCCTCCCGTTCGCATCCCGCGTGTACGTCGTAGACGAAGACGAGCTTTTCGAAGTGATTGGGGGCCGTTGAGCCTTGACGGGCGACTTCACAAGCCTACCGCGGTACATGTCAGGTCGAGGGGAATTCACTCCATCGTGCGCACTTGGAAACGGAAGTGGCTGGGACCTTGGTGAACGCAGCTTCCTCGAAGCGTCATGCCGTTTTTGGGGTGTCGTCACGGGTGATGTAAACGCCCTGGGCGGCGGCCGACGGCTTGGGGTGAAGCACAAATTGTTCTCAAGGAGCGGACTGGTGATCTGAGGCGGACTCTGCGGAAGTATAGCAGCATGCGGACGAGCAGGGGTTGACGGTCCAGCGGAGCCTTTGACGGGGCTAGTGCTACAACTGCGGCTGGTATGGCGTCGTGCGGGCGCAGGGGTGTATCGGTCAGCAGGTGTAGTTGCAGTCGAGCTCATATGAAAAGCAACCGGATCATCAGACGGAGCAGGAGTTGGTCCACGGGACGACAAAGGAGATTCGGCTACAATTCTAAACCCAGTCCCAGGCTTCCATTGCGTCTTGTCTCCTGTCGTAGTCCTGGAGATGAGGGATACCGTGGTGCACGCTGAATCCGCACGATGTGTCGAAGGTCTATCGTCCTTAGAACCTGCGCCTGAGAGAAGCTGGTCGATATCGCCGATGAGAACGTCGGAATCCGTTCTTCCATGCCTCGAGGTCCTTCGCTCGACCGACTTCCTGGTCCCCGTACCAGTGTTGCGCACTGTGCCCGCCGACCGAAGGGAGTTGATACGATTGCCCTCCTGCTGAACCTGCTCCAGGATCCCGCGCTTGATACTCTTGT